ATGAGCCACCCTTTTTTGGGGGGATTGCTGATTTTGCCTTATACATCTTCCAATGTCCTTAATAATGTGATTCTTGTAATGAGAATGGTATATGTGATAAATGGGCTTAAATGAGTATATATTTTGGGGAGGATATTATATTAGAAAATGAAGGTTGGCTAAAAAATGATGAATCTTTTTATTAAATCATTAGATGTGGAAGTAATGTTTAACTTATATTTATTTAGATTTCTAAATATATGGACCTTTTGTTAGTTAAGATGTAATTAAATTTAATTAATTAATTTATAAAGATCATTCAGAAATCAGAATAAGATTTAAATTAATAGCTATTTAACTTGAAAATTTAATCTCTTTGAAAGTATAAGTTAACAATGATGAATAAATATTTTTTACTAATCATTTAATAAATGAGTGGTATTTGATTTGTGGTTAATATTAAACAATTACTGTTATTGATGGATAATTTCTACATAATATTCATAATTTATTGATTTCAATAACTATACCTGATATCACAGATACAGATGCTTAATTTGGAATCAGAGACTTTGAAATATTTATAGATGCAAAAAACATAGAAGTTTAAGAATTATGTAATGATGAAAACATCTATGCTTTTGATGGTTGTTTCAATTTCCAATTTGATTGTTGTGAAGGATGTAGTAATTGTATAAAAGGTCAATGTATGGAATGTTATTAAACTTGGTAGTATGATTCCTAAAATTATTAATGTCTCCCAATTTGTGGTGATAATATTATTGTTGGATTTGAAGAATGTGATGATGTAAATTAAATACCTTATGATAGTTGTTATTAATGTAAATTCTCTTGTCCTTTAAATTGTTTATAATGTAAATTTGGTATATGTTTAATTTGCAATCTTTCATTTTAATTAGTAAATAATATTTGCACCCCTTATTATATAGATTTATTAAATTATTAATAATAGTTATTACCTATTAATCATAATTGTTAACCAGAATGTTAAGAATGTTATAATACATATTGTATAAAATGCTTGAAAGGTTGGAATTTGTTTAATTATTAGTGTGTTCAAGATTTATTTAATGATGATGATAATACAGAATTTGATGATTCTATTATAGATTAAATAATTTGTGGAGATGGTATAATTTAAGACCTTGAAGAATGTGATGATGGTAATACAATTCCATTTGATGGATGTTTTGAATGTTAATATTAATGTGAAGAGTATTGTAATTATTGTATTGATGGTAAATGTATATTATCAGAATCAGAAGAGTTATTAAAATTTGATTGTGATTTTGGATATTATTTGATTGATCAAAAATGCTTATCTATTTGTGGTGATTAAATTATTGCATCAGATGAAAAATGTGATGATAATAATAATGAACCTTATGATGGTTGTTTTTAATGTTAATATTCTTGTTCACTTTATTGTTAAAATTGTATTGAAGGATAATGTATGAAATGTGATATTGGATATTAATTATAAAATAATGGATGTTAAGAATAATGTGGAGATGGAATTAAATCATTAAATGAAGATTGTGATGATGGAAATAAAATATCTTTAGATGGATGCTCAGAAGAATGTTAAATTGAGAATTTATGGAAATGTTATACAAATGATTAAGAATTGAGTATATGTTACCAATTTGATAATCCAATTATCTAATTACAATATTTAAATATCACATTTAATAAATAATTTATTTTGATGACATCTTCTCAATATATCAAATTAAAAGAAAGTTAAGATAATTTAACATAAAATCTAGAACCCTAGATTATAAATGTTAATAAATAAAATTACATTATAACTTTTGATATTTAAGATGAACCAACATTTTAAGAATTCAAATATATATAATATTTATTTACTATTGAACATCTAAAGTAATTGGAAGTTGATTTAATTTTCTAGGTTTCCTTTAATATCTCATTAATTAATAATTATGATTTAGAAATTTTGAATAAAGTACTTTAATTAAAATTGAAGAATCCTATTGTATTAAATCAATAATAAAAGGAAATATCTACAAAAGCAAGTTAATTCAATATTTTGATGCTTATAATTCTTGGTGTTTCAAGTATTATTATTTTATTGTCTGGTAACCCATCAGATTGTTTTGAAGTTTTAGATGCATTGTAATATTAGTCATATCTTAAATTTATTAATGTTGCTTATCCAGAAAATGTGTTTATTTATTTTGAATCTTCTGAATTACTTTCAATTTAACCTTTTTTAATTAAATTTAATTTAGTAGATTTATTCTAATTAATATTTGGTTAAGAATTATTAGAATCATTTGGCAAATTTTATTTTTATTCAATTAATGCAGATTTACTAATTAATTTTTAAAGTCAAATTTGTTAGATAGTACTTATTTTGTTTTTTGCTATTTTTTATTTTGCATTTATCAAATTTTATTATAAAAACTGTTTTACACCAAGTCAAATGATATATATTAGATAAGTACATTCGAAAATATTTGAAAAAATTGCAGTTATTCTTTATTTAATCAATTAATTTATACTAAGTTTAGGAAAAATGTTTACAATAAATGGATTGATAATATGGTTTTTAGCAAATAGTTGGGATGTTCTTTTCAAAATTATACTATATTTCTATTCTAAACCTTAAAATTCCTTAAGAGCAATATTCTCTATCCCTTTATGTATAGTGATTATGTTATTCCTGTTTGCAATCTCAATATCGTATATAATTAAAACTGCTTAGAATAATAAGTTAAGCAATCTAAAAATATTCAGACATCAAGGTTTGATTGTTATCAAAAAATTATTATTTCTCTTTTTTTTAATTAAAGCATAAGATAATTCAATTATTTAATGTATTGTAATTGCATTAATAAATACGATATATCTTGCAATAATTATTATAGCCAAACTCTTAAAAGATAAAATAGATAAAATTGTAATCTTTTGGTTTGAATTACCAATTATAATTTTTACACTATTGAGCATCTCTTATCATCCTGATTTTGTTAAACATATTACAATTAATTAATAACTCCTTATAGGATTTATATAAATAGCAATATTATGTTTTGGATTACTATCACCATTAATTAAGTATGGTTACATTCTTATCAAAAAAGCAAAAGATTATATAATCTAGACATATAAGAGCCTTGTTGCCTAAAAATAAAAACAAATAGCTTTAGAATAAATATTTTTATGATTTATCAAATTATATTAATATTTTTTTTATATTTTTACATTTAATTAAAGCATAATCTATATTTAAATTAATTATTTAATACTATTTAAAAATCAAGTATTATTATTTATATTAATAAGATATATTATTATATTTTTGAAAATCTCCAAGTTTTTGTAAAAATAATAAGTATATAATAGTTAAACAATACTAGATATAATTCAATTTAATAATGGCTAAAAATAATATTAAGGAGGCAGTTCTAGATAATTAAATTTAATATGAAAAATACAGAATAATTTTAAATTTTAGTAGAAGAATAAGTATGAATAATTGTATATTTATTAAGAATAGTTTAAATAATGTGGTTAATAATATGTGTATTCATCTAGAATTATACAGTTCTAATTTGTATGTATATCAACTGTTGAAAATATAATTTAATAATGATTATACAAATTATTTTAACTTATTCTCAGTATTTAAAATTTGAACTTTAAAACTTAAAATATTACTGAATATATAAATAAAAAGTTTATGAACATTTCATATAATGAAATTTACGTTTTTATCTTAAGTACTATCTACTATCTTTGAATCTAGTTCATTTAAGCAAGTTACACTTTATAGATGTATTCATACATATCACTATGAATCTTTCTATATTTTCACATGCAACTTGCAAAATAGTTTTTATTTTACATGTCTTACTCTAGAATCTTATTTGTATTATTTTTATGTATAAAAAGATCTAGAGAAGTCCATGATTTTATGAATCTTCTAATTTTGCTCTAGCCTTTATGAGGCTTTTTAATTTAATCATAACTTTTAACCATATGGAATTTTTGTTAATTATGCATTTAAAAATTTTTGCATGAATTTCGACATGGATACACTGTAATTCATGGTTTTGTATATTTATGTTATTTAGTTATTACGAATCCTTTTTAAAAAGAATATTATTTTTTCAGTTTATTAACAGAGTTTCATTAGTTTCAGAATTAAGATGGTATTTCAATTTATAAAGATGGTTAATTAAATTTTGCTGAAAGAAAATTAACAATTAAAAAAAATAGAATGTAGAAAGCTTTAACAATCTGTTAGTTTAATTAAAATGAAGAGAATTTAGGAGAATCAATAATATAATTATTTACATCCTTGGCCTTATTAATAATTCTATTAACATTATATATTTGTTATAAATTAGTTATTAATGTTAAATATTTCTTTTTCTTAGATATATAATTATGAAAATTAAGCATGATAATTTTTTACTAAATACGTAGCATAATAGTTTTCATGTATTTTCTTTTTTTTTATCCAAAGTATCAATAATTCTTATCACAATTGATTATTCTTACAAAGGAATTATGAAAGAAGGTTTTATAATTTAAGTTTCAGCATGCTGAAGTTTTGAATAATCTTCAATTAATAATAATTAACTTTTAAAATATTTAATGATATATGTCATCCTTTTTATAGATTTCAATATTAAGAATGAAAATAAACATATACAGTAAATAAGGAAATATGATTATTATGTTTGGAATTATCAATTAAAATATATTTAAAATAATATTATAGTCCATAATCTAAATTATAGAGCAAATGTTGACTATTATTAAATTCTATGCATTTATGATTTGATTTCTCCACATTAAAATAATTAACCTATGAAAAAGTCAATTTTAATAAATATTATCATTAAAAAAAAAGAAATACAATGCTTATTTCAATAATAATAAATATTTGAAGATAGTAAGGCATATATAAAAATTAAATAATATTTAAATAAACTTTATGATTATTAAGTTAATTTAGATATATTTCATTTATTCATTTTTTAATCCAAGGTTTTTCTAATCACAGCTTCTTATTGTAATTAGTTTTTTGTATCTATAATTAATTTACATACTAAAGATATGTCACTTAAATCTTTTAATTCTCTTAATTTTAACAAAGAAAAAAGCAACCTTGATACATAAATATAAATAAGATACTGTAAATATTCTAAATAGTAATTACATTTATTTGTGTATGGAAATAAAAATTAGGTTGTTAATAAACTATTTAATTAAGTAAAATAGTTATTATAATCAGCCACAGTTTCTTTAAGTGGAAAGTTTGCTGATAAACCATAATTGTTAATTTGATCTTTAAGTAATTATTTTGCTTTATTTAAATTTATTATGGCAGTTTCAACATTTGCTAAAGTATACATTTATTTTTGAAAAGCTTATTCTTTACTTTTAATTGCTTTACTATGTTCATAAAAACAAGAGGAAAGATAATATAACTATAATTTTATTTTAATCATATCAGCATGTATTTATTTTTATTGATTTCTAAGATAACTTAATAAATATACAAATGCTTATCTAGAGAATCTAAAACATTATTCATAAAGGCTGCAATTTAGTAAAATTGATCTGATTAATTAGAGATTTATTAAATCATTGGAACAATATTTTAAGGAATAGTTTAAATCTTCGCTGGCATAATTTGTGGTTTAATGATTTATTAGATTGGAGTGAATTTATGATCATTTAATAAAGGATGAGCAAATAAATCTATCCAACTAATTCTTTTATTCTCATGATATTTCAACATATTTTCAATTAAAATTGCAATTTCTTCAGTCATCTTAAGAATTAAATTAATATTTACCCCAGAGATAGATCTATCAATTTTAACTGGGTTAAATTCTAATCTTCCTAATTGTAAAAACAATTACTAATAATTACTAATTTTGTAAGGTAGGCATCCAAAAATTAGTTCATAACAAACAATCCCAAGCTTTTCATAATATTTGAAAATACAGAAAAAATGTCTGCAGAATTTGTAAATTTTTATTGGCCTAATATTAATTAAGGTGATATATATTTTAGAGTACCAGCTTTTGTAAGGTCGTCATTTTCCTAATAGACTCTGGCTAATCCGAAGTCAGCAATCTAATTTAATAACTATAAATACTTTATATACTCCATTTAAATATAAAATGTTTTAAGGTTTAATATCTCTATGAATAATATTATTATCATAAAGAAATTTATAACCGTTTGTAATTTACTTCAAAATATTAATAACTTCATTAGGGGTGTAATATTTATTTTCCTTTTTTTTTTTTTAATTGAATTATGCCTGCAAATCGCATTCACATCTTTCTAAAATTAAAATAATTCTTTATTTNTCTTATTGTAATTAGTTTTTTGTATCTATAATTAATTTACATACTAAAGATATGTCACTTAAATCTTTTAATTCTCTTAATTTTAACAAAGAAAAAAGCAACCTTGATACATAAATATAAATAAGATACTGTAAATATTCTAAATAGTAATTACATTTATTTGTGTATGGAAATAAAAATTAGGTTGTTAATAAACTATTTAATTAAGTAAAATAGTTATTATAATCAGCCACAGTTTCTTTAAGTGGAAAGTTTGCTGATAAACCATAATTGTTAATTTGATCTTTAAGTAATTATTTTGCTTTATTTAAATTTATTATGGCAGTTTCAACATTTGCTAAAGTATACATTTATTTTTGAAAAGCTTATTCTTTACTTTTAATTGCTTTACTATGTTCATAAAAACAAGAGGAAAGATAATATAACTATAATTTTATTTTAATCATATCAGCATGTATTTATTTTTATTGATTTCTAAGATAACTTAATAAATATACAAATGCTTATCTAGAGAATCTAAAACATTATTCATAAAGGCTGCAATTTAGTAAAATTGATCTGATTAATTAGAGATTTATTAAATCATTGGAACAATATTTTAAGGAATAGTTTAAATCTTCGCTGGCATAATTTGTGGTTTAATGATTTATTAGATTGGAGTGAATTTATGATCATTTAATAAAGGATGAGCAAATAAATCTATCCAACTAATTCTTTTATTCTCATTATATTTCAACATATTTTCAATTAAAATTGCAATTTCTTCAGTCATCTTAAGAATTAAATTAATATTTACCCCAGAGATAGATCTATCAATTTTAACTGGGTTAAATTCTAATCTTCCTAATTGTAAAAACAATTACTAATAATTACTAATTTTGTAAGGTAGGCATCCAAAAATTAGTTCATAACAAACAATCCCAAGCTTTTCATAATATTTGAAAATACAGAAAAAATGTCTGCAGAATTTGTAAATTTTTATTGGCCTAATATTAATTAAGGTGATATATATTTTAGAGTACCAGCTTTTGTAAGGTCGTCATTTTCCTAATAGACTCTGGCTAATCCGAAGTCAGCAATCTAATTTAATAACTATAAATACTTTATATACTCCATTTAAATATAAAATGTTTTAAGGTTTAATATCTCTATGAATAATATTATTATCATAAAGAAATTTATAACCGTTTGTAATTTACTTCAAAATATTAATAACTTCATTAGGGGTGTAATATTTATTTTCCTTTTTTTTTTTTTAATTGAATTATGCCTGCAAATCGCATTCACATCTTTCTAAAATTAAAATAATTCTTTATTTTTCAATTTCTACATGATAAACTCTTACAATATTTTTATTATTGTTTCCTTTCTGCTTAATTAACTACATTAGACCTATTTCTCTTTCCATCTTAGGGTCTTTTGAATAATTTTCAACTATCTCTAATCTAAATTATAATTACTTTTGCACATAATTGTAATTATGTGTTTTATTTATCTTAACAAATAAAAACTGTCCCAAATTAACCTGAACCTATCAAGTAATTCATATTGATTTCGTATTAATTGATTACTAATATGTTATCTTAAGACATTTTGTTATAGAATTTATTATTACCATTGTTTTTTTCTTATCTAATTTAAATTTAAAGTCAAATTCTATTAAGCATTAAAAATATACAACAATTTTTTTTTCATTATGTATCTTTAACTCCATCTTACTATTGATAAATTTTATTTTATTAATGATTCATCATAACTATCTACATAATTTTCCTAATAATCTATCTCTTTACTAATACTATTTTGTAGACAAAATCAATTTTCATAAATATTACATATCGATAGTGTTGTTAAATTTAGTACAAATTTAATTTAAATCTTGAACAGAATATCATTATACAAACAAATATCAGCATTTAAATAGGTAGATTTTCTTAGATATCTTAGTTTACAATGTATTATTATAATCATACAAATAGAATTTGAATGATTATAATAAACTATTAAATTAGAGTATAAAATGGTTATTTGGTAGCATAATGAGTTTTATACTTATGTATACATATAAGGTCTCCAAAAATTATCAAAAAAAAAAATTGATTTAATATAATGTTATTTTTTGAGGTATTAATTCAACACATATTTTACTATAATCAATATGAATTAGAATTACAAAATTTTATTTCATTACTAAAATATCAGTTTAGCAGCTATGAAACATAAGTGAATGCAAATAAAAAATTTAGATCTAAAAATTAAAAAGTAATCCACAAAATGTATTAGTTTCTTAATTGAGAGTGAGAATTTAACATATCATATTTCTTGATTTCAATATATTATTTCATTATTAATAAAGTATAGATATTAAAGTTCATTACATTAAAAATTCTAATAATTAATAACTAAGATTGAATTGAGTTTTTTATGCCAACAAAAAATGTTGCTTTATATTCAGAAATCATCTTACTAATCTTCCAATTTATTAATGCTATAAAAAAGAATCAATAATAATCAAGCTAACAATATAAAAATATCTTAACATAGTGATTTCGCTAAAATCTTCAATTTAAAAAGAAAATAGGATTACAAATAATAATCTAAGACAATCTTCCCTTTATAAAATATAATTTAACACTCTTTAAGAGGAACTTAGTTAAAATAACTCTAGGGATGAAATTAATGAAGAAGAAATCTTCTTATCAAATTGTGACCAAAAAACAAATACAAATATGATGTTCATAAAACAGAATACACACTTTTATAGGAGAAAAAAAGAAGAAACATGATTAAATTATTAGATAATTTTGTTTGGAATTAGAGTGAGATACTCTCTAGTAATTCCATAAGTATCAATCTCATACTTAACAGAACTTGGAATATATGATAATCCTATAGTGATTTATGAAAATAACTATAACAATTTATGGAGAATAATTGGGTATAATCTATAACAAAAAGATGGTTATTATTGAGAATTCAGGAATAATTTCATAATCTTTGATGATTAAGATAATTAAAATTTGAAAATGCTGCATATATTAAACGTCTCAAAAATTAAGATAACTTTAAATAGATTAGAATTCCAACTGCAACCTTTTCACATTGACATTGCTGAAATTAAATTTCTAAATTCTTTTATGAAGTATAGATCATTTTCCAGCAATTCAGACTCCTTTATAAAGAAAGAAATTACTTTATTTATTATCATTTGGTTACACTATTGAAACAAATAAGTTATGATTTGGATTAAGGTTAATTCAATTTAATAAAGTATTACTAAAAGTTCATTTCTATAAATTATTAAAACTCAGGTTTCTAAAAATTGCAATATAATTTAACTTCCAAAAAAATCTAAATCAAATAGGTTTTATAAATATCATAAACTCTAATGACAAAATCTGAAGAGGGATTTGTAGTTATATTGATTTTTATAACTTAGAATTGATATATTCTTAATAATATTCTGAGCTAAATATGTCTTGGAAGAAGAAGAAATTTAATATGTAAGAACAGGCACACAAATATCTATTTTACAAGTCCACTTACTAATGAAATATTTTACTACAACATGATTTACCTCAAATATTCCAAAATTAAATTATATTTATCAGATAACTCTAATCATTATTTAAATACTATATTCGAAATGTAAAATAAATAATTTTTATTATCCTAAAAAAATTATGAAGCATCATAACAAAAAAAAAATCTTAATAAAAATGATAAAATACGATGAAATCCAAAAAATTTTAGAAATTAGATTGTTTATAATAGTTTTGAATGAAGCTATTTTTGAATATCGGAGGATAACTTTAAACCTTACCAAATGAATATACTATATTATTATTCAACTGTTTAATAGATTTTGTTAAATAATATTTAAATAATAATAAAATCTTTTTCAAGGTTATTTTTGTAATATTTCTAAAGGTTCCAATAAGGCAAAGTCTTTTTCAATATCTAAAGAATTAGCTGGCTTAATGATTAATCTATTTGATTCTTTACTATTTTAATGATCCATATAGTGATTAGACAATTTTCCTCCTAATTAATGACTCTATTATAGAATTTAATCTCCAAATTATTGTTAAATAATAAATTGTATTCTTGAAATTTCATATAAAATGTTATCTAGTCTGCATTTTTCCTTAGCTCTTTTAATAAAGGTTTTATATTTATATTTAAATTTTTCAAGTGAATTATTGCTACTATTTTCTGGATTATCCTACATTTCAATTTAATTTAACAAGTTAAACTTAATTTTTTTCATTTCTGGATAATACATAGTAACTATATCATGTAGTAATTCATTTTCCAATAACATTCTATTATAATAAATTGCAATATATTTTAATAAAAATATTACTTACACAATTGATCCAACTTAAGCTAGAATTTAACCTAGCTTTGGCATTGTTATACTTTCTGTAACAGCAATATTATCTATTCTAAATAAATAACAGCCATAACTCTTAAATTCATATGTCTAATTTGACAATAAACTAACCACTTAAGAAGTGAAAAAATGATCAACTTGTTAATTAATTAACTCATAATTATTTAAAAATTAGTAATTTTGATAATTAGTAAATAATATTCCATCGTCAATAATTGATTCTTATTATTTAAGCATAACTTATGAATATAAAGGTTTAGAAGGTTCGAAAGCTGTATAATATTATTTTTTTATTTATTCTAATTTACCTGTAGAATATTAAAATTAATTTAAATAAATAGTTAAGAATAAAAACCCATGAAATTTAGATAAATACTCTGTTATTACATTTTCATCAGCACAATAACTTCCAGAAACAGTAGTTAGATTATCACAGCCTTCTAAAACAAGCAATAATTATGTCATATCCAAGTTGTCATCATTTTCAGTATTTCCATTGTTTAAAACAATAGTGCCATCATTTATAAATATTTTAGATGGCTTATCTTTACTACTAAATAATGGTATTGGTTTATCAACTATAGTTGAATTTATAATTCGATATAATTTAGGAGTGATGATATTATTTTCTTTTTTAAACGGATCTACACCACCCAAAAAATCTTAAAATTCTAATTGAATAATAGAGTCTGACAACTAATATTCTGCATATGATATAGTTTATTGCTTAAAACTCACAACAGGAGGTATTTAATGATCAATCCATAATATGAATACATATAAAAAATATGTTAAACTAATGCTTCCAATCAACATAGTAACTAATCCACCAAGCCTACTTTAATATAAAGAAGTCTTAGCATTAGTTAAAAGATTTATTGGAACTCCAAAAATATCAAATTTATCAATAGTATTCAGTATTTTGTTCATTTAATTAAATAATAAATGACTGAAAGATTAATATCGAAATATAAATATTTATTTTTTGACTTATAAGTTTTACACTATAATATCAATTTTTAATTCTGAAATTTTCAATAGATTGATAATTTATATCAAAAAAAATTAATTCAAATATTGTTATTTATACTTTGATATTTTTGGATGTCATTCATTTATTTTATGAAAATTAATCTAGATACTATTAATACTTTATTTATACAATTGCTTCATTATCAATTGATATAAATGTCAAGAATTATATCTTAAATAGAAACGATAATGATAATTATCCATTAGCTTTTTTTATGGATTTGGATGATAGAATTATAAATGAAATCAAAAAGAATAAATGAATAAATTATAAATCTAACTCTTTTATTTTAGGGATGGCAGATGCAGCTAAAAATTATTGTAGAGCTCGTTTTAAAATTGCAAAAGAAATAATTAATACAAATTTAGAGAATATAAGAAAATAAGTGGAAAAAGTTAACAAACTAGATTAATTCATTATTACTTCTGCCTTAAGTGGTGGAACAATATCAGATTATACTTCTTCGCTTTTGGAAAACTTATTTGTTGAATATGCAGTTTAGGCTAAATAAATGCATTCTTAATATATCCTTCTTAGGAATTATCCAATAACAAAGTGGATATCTATAAAGCTGTGTTAACCATTCATATGATTTTAAAAATATTGTGTGTTTTAATGCTGGGATAATCAATCTATGTATAAATCCATAGATTCAAAGATTGGTTTGGATTATGTTGATCATACTCACTTAAATAATATAGTATCCTAAATAATTAGTTCTTATACTGGTTAAAAAAGGTTTAGTAAAATTAATAATAACAAATTATTTTCAGAGCTTTGTCCCTATCCAATAATTCATTATATAATTCCTTCATATAAACTTTTGGCAACTTTTACTGACTAAATCAATTAAGAATTAAATTAAAAATAAGCGATCTCTAAAATAACAATATCAGCTTATAGGTTATTTCAATCAACAATTAATTCAATACATATTTGTGCATCCTTAGTATATCGTTGTAAATAAAATAATTAATTTTTTGGTTATTGTGATTTAACTCTTTAAAAGATGAAGATTAAACATTAAACTATTCCAAATTTGTTTCAATGTTTACCATAAAATTTAAGAAATTAACATAAACTTGTATATTTCTTTCAAATGATGCTTCTTTATTCAATTAATTTGAAATGTTTGGAAAGAAATATGAAAAGACAATATCAAATGAATTTTATCATTAATAAATAAGGAGATTATATTAATTTATTATTTTTAAAAGTTGATTGGTTTAAATCATTAACAAATTACGCTAAAAGTGCTTGAAATATCAAAGAAATATTATTCTATTTATAAATAGCATTTGCTTTCCATTAGAAAAAACTTCATACAACTCTATACAAATTAAATCCCAACAAAAGGATTCTTTATTAATACAATTAGGATATACTTTGTTTGATTTAAAATAAAATTTTAAGATAATTAATAGAATATTGATTAATTTGAATTTGTTTATTATTCTATACTTTAAAAGATATTGCAATTACATTGAAGCAAAATTTGAGAAAAATTGATTTTAAGAATTTCTTTTGAAATAATATAATATCAAGTGGATAGCTCAATACTGATAATGGTTTAAATGACTGCTTAATTTAACTAATTTTCTTATATTAATCTAAATATAAAATGTGTAAATATCTTGAATAGTTATTGCTTTTACATAATTATTTCACTTTTGCTAGAAACATTACAGCAGAGCAAAGCTAGCCATTCTAATATGTTCAAAGTATTAAATGAAATATTGTTTGAGTTGTTAAAATACAAATTAATCAATCAATAAAGATACCATAGCCTTCATAAATATATCAATTTAAAAATAAGTTAAAATATACCTTCTTTTATACTTAATTTTGTTAAGCCTATCCTTCATGAAGTAAAGACAAATCTAAATAGATAAAATGTAATTTTATTAATAATAATAAAATGCTGGTTTTAACATACATGTATCTTTTGATTTGAGTTTTCAAATCATATAGTAAGGTTACATCTACTTAGTTAAAATTAATTTAGAAATCCTTGCAACAGCGAAAATAGACAGAACCTTATTTTAAAGATATAAAAATCAAGAATAGCTATGGATAAAATTTTATTTTAGTTATAATACTGCTGTTTATCAATAAAGGACTTTTAATTTAGTAAAAAAACACTGAAAATAAGTTTCCATAAAATATGAAATATCACTTGATTATTTCACAAAGCTTATAGAAGAATAAAAAAAATATAAAGTATCATAAATATTTTTTGTTAAATTAAATACTTACATGATACTTCTTGGATAGGAGAGTTGATTAAATAGCCTTAGTTATTATCTAATGATTTTACCAAAGTGATATAAATAAGAATCTTTATACTCTAAATGTCTGAATCTGTTTTTTGAGCAATTCATTAGAATTCCAGTCACTTGAATACTACTAAATCCATCGTAGCAGAATAATTCTCATTTAGATAAGTTACTAGTTTCTTAAGCTCAACCAGATCATTGGGCATTGCTTTCTAATTACTAATTAATTGATTTACTCTAACTTCGTCATAATAAATTCTGAGATTATTTAGAATACCTAAATATATAACTAAAATCTATTCTTTTAGATTTTCAATAAATTTTTAATGCACATTGAAATTTTCGCCTTGAATGAAATTAATTCCATATATTTTATAGTTATTACATATATTCAAAAATGTCTTTTGGCTTATTACTTAAAGAATTCGAGTATTTGTTTAACAATAGTCTTAAGAATAAGTACTTCTTAGAAGGATTAATAAATATGTGTAATGGTTTATGATGATGATGAATACTAATAGAATTTGTCAAATATGATTTCATATTTCCATATGAAATATTATTAGAAACTTTATCATACAAGAAATTATAAGCTTCGATAGAGGGATTCTTCTATTAAATTTACTTACAGAAATAAATTATTATTACAGTATGTGCTTTTAACCAAAAGAAGATGGTGTATTTAACTTCTCTCTTAATGTTTCAAGATTCATTTCTTTAATAATATTCAAAATGGATATAATTTAAAATATAGATTATAATTTTAGAATATTGATAGTATTATTGAAGGGCTGATTTATAAAAAATTTTATAAAATAAAGTTTTAAACGAAAGTTATTCTAAAGGAAGATTAACTATACTTTTATATTTATTCTTTTCTACATCTTAATCTAGATTCTCAAACAATCTTCTATAGATTATATATACGAAAAGACGAAATGCTATCTAAAAATTAATAATTTCCTAACATAATAAAAAAGTAACAAATAATGTTTAATTCTGCCTATCATTATTTTTAGCAATTTTCTATATTTTTCCAAGGAGATGAAATAAAATTAAATTTATATAAAAAACTAAATAATTCACTTATAAAAATTTAATCTAAACATTTAGTTTTATTATGCAAAATATAATGTAACTAATAATCCCACCTAATATCATTTTAAAAGCAGTTTATAAAAGTTAAAAATCCTGAATATTTTTTACATTATCTCAAAGTGGTTTTATAATGGTAGTACAAATGATCTCATTTCTCAAAATTTTATTTCTTAAATCGATAATCCATGAAAATTGTGTAATTGATGATATAACAGAATACAAATATACAGATTTTTCAATAGTTGGAATAAGTAATGCAACTTATGAAAGGTGTTTATTGGACCTTATGGATTTTCAACATCAATAACCAAAACGTTTACAAATATTCCCCCAAAATAATAATTGGAATTCTCAGTTAGTATTTGGAAATTAGACAATTGAGTTTTAGATGGATTTGAAATATATGAAAATAAAGAATTAAGAGAAAATTTATTATTGGATTACTTGGAAGGTACTATGATATGTAGAAACGACATTTTGTTTAATCTATATAGGCCTTTTTCATTAAAATTGAAGATAACAAGAATTGATTTAACTATAAAATTAAGAGATTATTTAAATTCTAAAAAAATAAGGACTTTGGGATTGTATAAATTAAATGACTTTTAGAATCATGGGGATTTAGAGACTATATTTTAAGACTTTTCATACCTTGTGTTAATTTTTATAGTGAATATAATTATATTGGAACATTATTTTAAATTTGCTAAGGAGAGTAATCAAAATTGCAAAAAGAAATTCCTTTTGAAATCAAATCAATCCTTATGGGTCCTAATATCATTGTTTAATTAAAAGGCTTAAATTACTATGCAGGAGTTCAGTTTCTTATAGAGTTGTTTGAATAGTTTTTAAGTATTGATCTAGTAATGATTTTTAGTTTCAAAAAGTAGTCTATTAGGAATGATCATTAAAATAGGAATGAATAATAATAATGAAAAATTTATAAAATTAAATCAATTCAGTGAACATAACTATTTTTTTTTATTATTGATATTTGTCTTAAAAGATTTGAGCATGTCAGAGTTCTCAACTTGAAAAATTACATATCATATACATTTACAATATTAAGAGGAAGCTCAAAATTTTATCTATTCCATAACCTAATTTTTATCTCTATAACAATCCAAAATTAAATTTAATTTAATTTATATTGATATATCTTATACTTTTCTATAAAATTGCCCTTAGATTATTAAGACCTCTTTACAATCAATCAAAACGAGAATTTATTAGCATAATTTTACCATTTTTCTATATTTAACTTAATTATACTAATTCTATTTACACCTCCATATTAGAGGATAGTATGAATTTACAAAGGAAAACATAAAGAAGGATTTCAAATCGCATTTATAGATTCAAAATATCCTTAGAATAAATTGTATCTTCAAAAGATTTAGTCGAATCGATGCCCTAACAGAATTAATGTTGAAAAGGGATCTAAATAATTGACTAAATCTAAGTTAAATCACAAAAAATTTTCAACTATTAGTGATTCATCAAAACTATTTTCAGATTTTCAAAAATAAAGAAATGAAAGATTAAAGAATTCCTCAATAAAAATCCTTTTGATAGCTAAACTGAATTAGATTTAGGGAAAGTTTCTTTGAAGAAATAATATAAAATTAGATTAAAATAAAAAATGTAGCTTTAGAAATCTAAAAAAAAAAGAGGAATTACTCATGCAAAACACATATAAGACAAGTTATCAGGTTAAATTAATAACTAAAGAAGAAAACCTTATTTATTTATAGTATTTAAATAAACAATCAATACGAAAAATCTTTAATTTCATAAAAGAATAAAATGAATATAATATCTATGTTCAATAATTAATTCGAAAATATTTTAGAAAAAAAATAAAAGGATAAAAATGAATAAATATATTATAATCTTGAAAAAATAATTTCAAAGAAAAGTTAATTGTTATTAACTTAAATACTGGTACTATTCGGAAGGCTAATAAATTATTGGGTGGAACTTACAATATAAAGGAATAAAAGTAGGAGTGTGGAGAAATTCCTATGATAATTATCCAGAGTATTTATAAATATTTTAGGCAAAAGAAAATGATTGAAGAGGGATTATGTTAATGGGTGTAAAAGTTTAGTTTTTTTGGAATTAAAAATGGGATAACTAATAATTTGTAAAAATATAAGGGAGAAGGTTCATATGGATAATATATGCATAATGAAAAATTAATAGATTTATATGATGGGTTTTATAATGATAAATGATAAAAAATCACTAATATTGATGTATATAAAAATGGAAAAGGTTGGTAGATGGGATATTGCATTTTCTGGATTATAAGCGGAAATAAATAAAATTATGTACATTATTAGTGGAGGTGAAGTTATTAATGAATACAATTTTAATTTTATTGTATAATTACGAGGTAAATTTTTTGAGTATTCTAACAATTGTGTTATTCAACTTAAAAATTGTTCTATATTGATCTCTGGCAATTTTGAAAGTGTGAATAATAGTAAATAATTATGATTTTACAACACGTAAAACAATTATTAGCTATAAATAGAGAAAAGTTAAAGATATAAGCTGATATCCACCTAAAAGATTTTTATAAAATTATTTTTTCATTAGATTATGGAATTGATTTATTTTAGATATAAATTATTCTTAAGTATAAAAAACAAAGAGTATATTGAAACTAAAGGAAATTAAAAAGAAACTAGAGATACTTGAATTGCTAAAAATAATTAGCAATTTTTTATTATGGAATTATAATTATCTTTTGATAAATAGTTGATAGAAATAAGTCAAGAAGTATGATATTAAAAAGAACTAGTTTAGATCGAATTATTTAATATAACAAATAGTAAGTTTTAACAATGAAAAATCAAAATAATATATAAATGATTAAATTACTTTTTATAATCTTTTCATAGGGATAAATCTATATATTCATTTTAATAGATTATTGAAAATCTCATAATTATTTAATAAAGAAATGAGAATATCTTATAATTTAAGTTTTATTTCATAAATCGATATTAGAATTCATTAAAGTTAGATAGTGGAATCAAAAGCAGATTGTTATAAACAAATTTTTTCAGATCATAATCACAGGATGTTTTTCTTGCTAAATATTTTGTAAGTTAGAGAAGCAACTATCTAATTATAAATTAATTATTTTTTCATGAACCAGTATTTTAAGATTTTTGGCAATCGCTATTGAAACAGATATGAATTATTGAAAAGCATTTTAGAATAAGAAGTATTTAAAAAAATAAAGAATTGATTCACATATAGAAAAAACTATTTTGGCGAGATCTTTCCAGATTTTGAAATAAATTGAAGGTAGGAAATATAAAATAGGTTTAAAAATATTGAACAAAAAGAAACTTAAGTTTTAATCAGCTAAAATGAAGGATTAATTATAATAAGTTAAATTTGTTTGAATAATTTCGGATAATATCATGGATATCTTATACATTATGGATATCGGTCTTACTTTTTAAGAGAAATAAGTAAAGATCTAAAGTCAATTAGATCTTTTATTGATTAAGTACTTTCAAGTATGAAAATGAGGTAAGAAAAGTATTAAAGAAGTCTTTATTTCATATTCATTGAAGTTAAAATATAATATTTAATTTCAAAATTATCATTATGATAAGATTTAAATTATAGAATTTTAAGATGCTTTCTTAGCGGAAATATGAAAAGAATCATGATTTTAGAAAGCTATGATGAAATGAAATTTGACTGCATTTAATCTAATAAGTTTTTACAAAAATAGATTGGTGTAGGATGTCTAAAAATTCAAATTCCAATAGAATTATTAATGCCAAAGTTGAATTTATTTCTATTATTAAGAACATTACTTTAAATTATACAAATCTTTAGAAAGATGGAAAAATAATATGAGGTAGTGAATATGGTGCAGTTAAAATTTGTAAGTCTAAGGTGATGAAGAAAAAAAAACTTTTAAATTTCAAATTTTTAAAGTTATTTATGCTTCATACTCTGGAGAATTAACTATTTTTGCATACTTTACTATTAGATCCAATTAAATATTAAGTTTTTATTACTTTNATCTTTTGATAAATAGTTGATAGAAATAAGTCAAGAAGTATGATATTAAAAAGAACTAGTTTAGATCGAATTATTTAATATAACAAATAGTAAGTTTTAACAATGAAAAATCAAAATAATATATAAATGATTAAATTACTTTTTATAATCTTTTCATAGGGATAAATCTATATATTCATTTTAATAGATTATTGAAAATCTCATAATTATTTAATAAAGAAATGAGAATATCTTATAATTTAAGTTTTATTTCATAAATCGATATTAGAATTCATTAAAGTTAGATAGTGGAATCAAAAGCAGATTGTTATAAACAAATTTTTTCAGATCATAATCACAGGATGTTTTTCTTGCTAAATATTTTGTAAGTTAGAGAAGCAACTATCTAATTATAAATTAATTATTTTTTCATGAACCAGTATTTTAAGATTTTTGGCAATCGCTATTGAAACAGATATGAATTATTGAAAAGCATTTTAGAATAAGAAGTATTTAAAAAAATAAAGAATTGATTCACATATAGAAAAAACTATTTTGGCGAGATCTTTCCAGATTTTGAAATAAATTGAAGGTAGGAAATATAAAATAGGTTTAAAAATATTGAACAAAAAGAAACTTAAGTTTTAATCAGCTAAAATGAAGGATTAATTATAATAAGTTAAATTTGTTTGAATAATTTTGGATAATATCATGGATATCTTATACATTATGGATATCGGTCTTACTTTTTAAGAGAAATAAGTAAAGATCTAAAGTCAATTAGATCTTTTATTGATTAAGTACTTTCAAGTATGAAAATGAGGTAAGAAAAGTATTAAAGAAGTCTTTATTTCATATTCATTGAAGTTAAAATATAATATTTAATTTCAAAATTATCATTATGATAAGATTTAAATTATAGAATTTTAAGATGCTTTCTTAGCGGAAATATGAAAAGAATCATGATTTTAGAAAGCTATGATGAAATGAAATTTGACTGCATTTAATCTAATAAGTTTTTACAAAAATAGATTGGTGTAGGATGTCTAAAAATTCAAATTCCAATAGAATTATTAATGCCAAAGTTGAATTTATTTCTATTATTAAGAACATTACTTTAAATTATACAAATCTTTAGAAAGATGGAAAAATAATATGAGGTAGTGAATATGGTGCAGTTAAAATTTGTAAGTCTAAGGTGATGAAGAAAAAAAAACTTTTAAATTTCAAATTTTTAAAGTTATTTATGCTTCATACTCTGGAGAATTAACTATTTTTGCATACTTTACTATTAGATCCAATTAAATATTAAGTTTTTATTACTTTTCATTTTGGAGAAATTATATCCACACTAGTTATGAATATACTAATATTAAGTTCTATCATTATGGTTAATGTACTGTTACATAAAATAAGAATGCTGACAACTACATTTAGAAAACAAAGCTATTATAATTTAAATCCTACTCTTAAATTATTAATTACAATTGCCATCATTAAAAAGCCATAGAAGGTCGAAAAATTTAAATATTTATCAGGAAATGTTAAGATTACAAAGTAATTACAAAATTACTATTTTTGTTAATGAATACTTGATTTGCAAAATTAAGATTATTGTTATCTAAATAAAATTACAAAGGAATAGTGTATTCAAATTTAGCTGAATGAAAGTAAGCTTAAATGAGAATAGCTAAAGAATTAGATAATTGTAGCAACAATGTTTATATTAAAAAGAGTTTATATTGTATATGAGATTATTGTAACCAAATGGAACATAAAGATTAAGCATTCTATTATATAATGGCCATCCATATCTATAAGGTAATCAATAAATTGCATTGAGTAAGAATTCTTCATAAATATGTGGGAAGTAAAAAATAGGGAATAATTAATTTTATAAAGCAATCCAATCAGATACTTTGAACTCATAATTTATTATAATAGAGGTAAATTAATTAATTATTATGAATAGTCTAAAGAACAATGTTCCAGTTTGGAAATATATGAATTTAGTAAAGATTTCTATCACAATCAAGGAGTCAACAAATTTTTTAGAATTTAAGCTTTTGAATGTTTAAAAAGTTTTTATGAGGCTAGACTTAAATAAAAATTGATAAATAAATATTCTGACCGATAATTTGATATGTTTAGATTAGTGAGCATTTCAATTTTTCTAGGATTTCTTTTATAAAGTTGAAAATGAAAATGTTATGAGTAATATAAACATGCCATTAGAAGTAATACTAAATTGAATAAAGTAGGTAGCTTTTATCTACCTGTCCTTTCAAATGATCGGGGCATGACAAACGTTTTAGTCCTCAGATTCTGTCAACCATATTTAGCATATGCCTTAATATTGAGTTAGTTCGATTTCATAAAGATAAAAAAAAATTATTTTGCTTATCTCAATTCTAAACGATTAAAAAAATATACTTTTGACAGAAATTGAATTGATTTCTAATATGAAAATGATTGGATTATTAATTAAATTATCTACTTCTAAATAAATCTTTTTCAGAATCTGCTTAATTTTTCCAAAAAAGCCTAAAAAGTAATTACTCAAACTTATAAAATCATCATAAATAAATTTGAATCTAATTTTAATTATCTTGAATATCAAGTAGTAAATATTCATTTGGGGCATGTAAAGAAGTGTTTTAATAGGAGTTTAATTATCAGCCAAGATATAATATTTTCTGTTTATGAATGGATTATGTCTATTCGAGATAATGTACTGATGTTATTGTTTAAAATTGTTGAAAAATAAAATTTTCAAGGATCTATATCTAATCAATAAAATTAAATTTCATATAGTATTAATTGTCACAATCTAACAGTATCTCTATCAGCTGGTTATTAATTAATAATTGAATTTATTGAGGTTGATTATTTCTTTATTTAAAGTTTTAAGGCATTAAAAATAAAGATGTTAAGGAAATACAATTAATTTTTTTTTTCAAAACCCAAAAAACGAGTAAACAACACTTTCCAGCATAGCATGCTCCATATTTGAGTTCTTCTTGTATTAATTACAATTTTATCTTATCCACATATAGATTGACTTATTTAATCAGTTAAGATAAATAATAAGTTTTTAAGGAAATTTCAATGTAAAAAATTATGACACTCTTAATAAACATTTTGGTTGATTAGTAAAAAGTGAAAATAAAAAACTAAAGTCATTATTAAAGAAAACACTATTCAGTTCTTTATGTGATTTTTTTTTCAATTATTATTATATATAATTAATAAATAATAATTACTATTGTAAAAGCAAATGAAGTAATAAAATAATATTATGTTTGTTTAATAAATTATTATTGTTGTAGCCCTTATATCAAAAATTTAAATGGTAACATTTCTTCGTGATTATGGTTACCCTATAAATGAGAATAATACGATAAGTTGCACTTAATCAAAATAATTGAATTACAAATTTACATTTTAAGAATTCGATAGAATACCTTAAGTGATTCTTAATATTTGGTAATTGAATATGACCTAAGATGAAAATGAAGTACAAACATCCATTTCATAGGTTTAAAAATAATGTAAAAATTTATTTACTTTTAAAAAGCATTTATTCTAAATATTGGCTGTCCAAAATCAGGAATAGTCAAATAATTACGACTTAAGTGGTTTGCCATTGACGACTAAAGAATCTAAGTAATTAATTGTTACAACATGACTGAAATTAAACGAAAAACATTTCTACACAATAACCCTAATGCATTGTCAGGATATGTGTCTATTACAAGCATAGGTTTTAAAGGCAAAGTAAATTTTTATCTGAAAGTATTTTAAATTCAAATTTAGATCTTAGATTTAAATACAACTTCTGTTACTATTGATATTTTAGGTAACTATGAAAATGTTACTTAATTGGGATATTAAGTCATCTTAGGAATAAATGGATTCTTTTAACAATTAAATGATAATTCATTCTTTTAGAATTTTACAAGCGAAAACCTTAATTACATAGTTAGATCAAATTAGACTCTCGCAAATTGCTTTTATGGATTTGACTATTATAATTCTGGAAATTTTGATTTCTTGAATTCAATGTAAGAGAGTTCTACAAAAAAATCATTCAATTACAGCATCCAACCAAGTATTAATTAATTATAAATTTATTTAGATGGAGGTGGAAGCTATAATAGTATATTTTTCATTATGATCAAAATTTAAACAACTTTCTTACCTCTTTAGTTTTAGAAACTATCAATCAAACTAGTCAAAGCTATTCCTTAATAATATTAAGCAAAAATTATCATTTCTAATTAAGAAAATGATTAGATTTTTTAATCTATTGGAGAATTTCAATTAATTGTTGATAAATCATTTGATAAAGTTAATCTATTTACTTTATTGCGATGTAATACTAATTCAACAATATAAAGCAGTTTTAATAAATTTTAGAAATCAATAATATTAAAATAATTAAATTTAACTCATTAGTGTGATTCAAATTTAAATCAAATCAACTTTTAATTGGTTCTAAATAATATGGATGAGACCCATTAGGAATTAAAAATTACTATATCAGAGTTTAGTTGTTCAGTTTCACAAATACTCTATAATTAAGTAAAAGAAGAGCTTAAATTATATGAAATATATATACAAAATTGATGCTTAGATTAACATCTGAATTTTCTTTTCATGATTAAAATAATTTGGAAAATCTTTAATTAAAATTCAATCATTATTACTTCTCTTTTAGACATCATTAATTATTTCTTCACTAAAATTTGTAGATGAGGGGATTGTCTAACTATTAATTGATAAATAAAAATATTTTGATTTTATCTTCAAACAACAGAAATAAAAAATATAATTGATCATATAAATAGGTTAGTGAAATTAATAATCTAAATTTAAACCCTAATTTATTTTAAACTTGATGAATAAGTAATAAAAATGATTTTAGTTTTTTCTAGAAATTTTATTTGGATTTTTATTGCGTTTTCTTGCTAAATACAAGTTTGGAGAAAAACAGATTTCCTAAATTTATAATATAATGTAATCTTTTTATTGATTTTTTTTATTTCACAAATGTAAACTTCTATCATAAACCTAAGTTAGAGTTTTATTACAAAATATAATGATTTTCTACCGAATGATAAATGAAAATATCACTAAGAAATTAAGCCAGTAAAAAAAAATAATTCATATAATTTCATCCAATATCTTCATCTGATTCACAAATTTATTTGAATCTTTAATTGCCTTAATGCAATTCAAGGAGAATTTTATTAAAAAATTTTGAAAATGTAACTTCTTAACTATGTCCCAAAATTTATGCATGCGAACTAATTTGACTTTATTATAAAACTTAATTTGCGAAGTTAGGGCTTTACAGATGACACTAGGCCTTTATGTAAGAAATAATACCCTCTGCTTAAATAGTTGGACATGTTTATCTCCATTTTGATAAGTATCAAATGTTTCCTACTTTGGTTAATTGTTTATATTTCCCCCATTTTCTTTTTTTCAAAATAGAGGACCTTGCTCTTTTATTTTCTCTGCTTTACTAAAGATCTCTTCAATATATTGGTCACTAATAAGTATATGCAGCATAATTCGTTAATAATCTATTTTTTAAGTTTCCTTATAAAGTCTTAAATAATCAAGTATTTCTACTTAATATTAAATCTTATATTTTAAATAATTTTATAACACATGTAAAACTCCAAATAAATCATTGAGTCTCAAATATCATTCCTCGAATGATTTAATCACATAACTATTGACTTGGTTGAAATTGAAATAATAATAATTTTAATAACAATTTTGTAATTTGAAGTTCATCGAATTATAAAATCTTTCTTTAAACCTACTTAATATTTCAGTAGTTATAGGATATTCGAATTTTCTTAGGGATATATATACTAGTGAAATTATGTACTAAAGGCGATTGTTATGTTACATGACTATTTCTTTAGCCAGACCATAAACTAAAATGAGAGTTGATCCTATTCATTTTTTATATTCAAAATATCAATAATTGATTTTTAACTGCTTTATTAATAAATTTAATTCATTTATTTGATAATTTTCAAGTTAAATATGATTAAATTGTTGAATAAATTAATTTCAAATATCTAGCTTGAAACTAAAATTATATAAATAATATAATTGATTCTTAAGCAAGTGAAATGATATTCTTTGTTGAATATAAAAACGAATAATTTAATTTAATATATATAAATATATATATTTAATTAATAATTTTTAATAGAAAATGGAATAGTAGGATATAAAAATGTGTTAAAAACATAAATTAGAAATAATTTTAGTTGATTTAGAAAGATAGATTGCTTAAGAAGATAGATGTTTATGTGTAAGATGTATAATAGAAAAAATGAATAAAAAGAAAATGAATTAAATTGATGAAACAAAGAATATGATTAAAGAAATGAAAATAAATGAATAAAATCAAATAATTAAAGATAATAAAAAGAGATTAGATAATTTTAATGAAATTGAATAAATATTAAGAGAACTTAAATAAAATATAGATAATATATTTGATAAAATATTTAATAATATAAAATGTTAATTGAATTAGATATAAAAAGATATAGGAAATATAGAATAATAATAAATTATATATAATTTTGAAAATGATATTGAAAGATTATCTTAATATTAAGAATAATAAATTAATGAATAATAAATTAAATTAATTGAAAATGATCATAAATTTATTGAATAAATTCAAAAATAATTATAATCTATTATAAATTCTGAATAATATAATAAATTAATGAATAATTAAAATATTATATTGAATTCATAATTAGAATAAGATTTAATAAATAATGAATAAAATTATGAAATAATTAAAATATAAGATTATGTATGTATATTATAATATATTAATAGAAAACACCTGCATTAAAATTTATTTGTTAAGAACACACAAAAGAAATAATAATGTTTAATTTAANATCATTGAGTCTCAAATATCATTCCTCGAATGATTTAATCACATAACTATTGACTTGGTTGAAATTGAAATAATAATAATTTTAATAACAATTTTGTAATTTGAAGTTCATCGAATTATAAAATCTTTCTTTAAACCTACTTAATATTTCAGTAGTTATAGGATATTCGAATTTTCTTAGGGATATATATACTAGTGAAATTATGTACTAAAGGCGATTGTTATGTTACATGACTATTTCTTTAGCCAGACCATAAACTAAAATGAGAGTTGATCCTATTCATTTTTTATATTCAAAATATCAATAATTGATTTTTAACTGCTTTATTAATAAATTTAATTCATTTATTTGATAATTTTCAAGTTAAATATGATTAAATTGTTGAATAAATTAATTTCAAATATCTAGCTTGAAACTAAAATTATATAAATAATATAATTGATTCTTAAGCAAGTGAAATGATATTCTTTGTTGAATATAAAAACGAATAATTTAATTTAATATATATATAAATATATATTTAATTAATAATTTTTAATAGAAAATGGAATAGTAGGATATAAAAATGTGTTAAAAACATAAATTAGAAATAATTTTAGTTGATTTAGAAAGATAGATAGCTTAAGAAGATAGATGTTTATGTGTAAGATGTATAATAGAAAAAATGAATAAAAAGAAAATGAATTAAATTGATGAAACAAAGAATATGATTAAAGAAATGAAAATAAATGAATAAAATCAAATAATTAAAGATAATAAAAAGAGATTAGATAATTTTAATGGTATTGAATAAATATTAAGAGAACTTAAATAAAATATAGATAATATATTTGATAAAATATTTAATAATATAAAATGTTAATTGAATTAGATATAAAAAGATATAGGAAATATAGAATAATAATAAATTATATATAATTTTGAAAATGATATTGAAAGATTATCTTAATATTAAGAATAATAAATTAATGAATAATAAATTAAATTAATTGAAAATGATCATAAATTTATTGAATAAATTCAAAAATAATTATAATCTATTATAAATTCTGAATAATATAATAAATTAATGAATAATTAAAATATTATATTGAATTCATAATTAGAATAAGATTTAATAAATAATGAATAAAATTATGAAATAATTAAAATATAAGATTATGTATGTATATTATAATATATTAATAGAAAACACCTGCATTAAAATTTATTTGTTAAGAACACACAAAAGAAATAATAATGTTTAATTTAAATTAAAATTGTAATTAATAACCAAGAATGGCTTGTATTAAATGTATTTAATAATATCCAGCATAATATACACCTTTAGAAGATGTAAATATTTAATGGGATTAATATTAAAAGAGAAATTAAAATAATTTAAATGAAATCTAAAATACAAGAAATTCAATTTAATAGAAAATATTTAAAATGATTTAAGATATTAAATAATAAAATAATTAAATATTTGATGAATTAATATAATCTTTAAATAATTAATAATAATCAATAGAATAAATGAATGAAAATCAAATAAATAATAAATCAATTAATTAATTAACATTAAATTAAATAAATGAAATAATTAATTAATTAAGTTAAATAGATAAATTTAAAACATTTAAAGATTATTAAATTAATATTGATAAAATTGATAAAATATTTTATTCAGATTTAAAATCTAGATTTGAACATCTAATATAATATTAATTAATAAATATTTAATAATTTAATTAAATAATTATTAATGATAATAAAGTAATTAATTCTATTGATAATTTATTATTATCTATTTAAAATAAACATGAAGATAATTTATAAGAATCTACTAATATTAATTAAATATTAGAATAAATTAGATAATTTATGTATAAATCATTTAATTTTGAATTTTCATAAAGAATATTCATTGAAAATATAGATTAATATATAAAACTTAAAGAAGAGATATAGAATTTATAATAAATCTTAAGTAATAAATTTGAAAAATCTTAAGAATTATAAAATATATTAAATGAATTTAATAATTATATAAATAAATTCAATTAAGATTATATCTAATTTTAATAATTTATAGAAATCAATTAAAAATTAAATGAAATTTAATAATTAAAAGAATAAATTCAATTTATTTAAAAAGAGAAATAAGAATAATAAACTACATTTGAGAATGATTTTTAAAAAATGAAAGAATAAATTGAATAAATAAATAAAGATAATTTAGAAAAAAAGAATAAATTAGATTAATAAATCAAAGGAAAAGATGAAGAAATAAAGAAATTGAATGACTAAATTGAATAAATTAATAAAGATAATTTAGAATAAAAGAATAAATTAGATTAATAAATCAAAGGAAAAGATGAAGAAATAAAGAAATTGAATGACTAAATTGAATAAATAAATAAAGATAATTTAGAATAAAAGAATAAATTAGATTAATAAATCAAAGGAAAAGATGAAGAAATAAAGAAATTGAAAGAATCAATTGAATAAATTAATAAAGATTATAAAAATTTAGAATAGAATGTAAATAACTTGGTTCCTACTTATAAAACATTGTTTCAAATAGTAGTATTTTATCTACATTATTTATATTATAGTCATCATAATATCAGAAGTAATTGACATTTTCATAAACACATAAATAATCAAGTTGTGAAGTAACATAAAATGGAAAAATGGTTTAAAATGGTCATTATTGTTTGTGTGATTAAGTCATTCCTAAAAATGGAGTCACATCATTTGCATTCAAAATCATTTAATTAAATTAGAATTGTTTTATTGGTATTGGGATTAGAGAGATAATATAAAAAAATAATTATGATGGAGGTGTTACTTATGGGTGTGGGTATTAATTAAATATTATATACTATTAGATCATATACTATAACATAAAGTAAATATTGTTATTCACACCATGACAAGGATAAAGATTCTAAATAATTATCATTTGAATTCACAATTAATGATATAATAATAGTTGAAGTTGACATTTAAAATAAAAATATAAAATGGATCAAAGCAAATACAAATCAATCATTTGTAATTATAATAATACTATTACATAATAGAGTCTTTAAATAGATACAACATATGATTTATATCCATGTTTATGGGTATATAATAATAAAGTATAAATATTAGAATAATTAATATGATATTATTATTATTCATTTAGTATTATTTTAAATAATATATATAATAAATTAAAGAAAGAAAAGAAAATTATATAATGATATCATATAAGAGCTATTCAATTGATTCAATTATGAGGATATCTAAAAATTAATATAAATCAAATAATTCATTATTATTTTTAGCCTAAATTAAGGCTACTAAATGTTTAGAACCATGTAATTAATAACTGGTAATAAGATTAGAATACCTTTACCAAAAAATGGCTTATATAGAAATCTACACATTTAAAAAAAATTAAAAAATGATATTACTCAGATAATTCATAAATAAGATTAAATTAGTATTTTTTTCTTTTTTTAAAATTTTTCTTCAAAATTTCAATAAAGCAAAGTTAAATAAGAGTTAAAAAAATTATTATTAAATCTTTCTAATCAGAGATTCTTGTTTAAAGTACTTTTATTTATACTCTTTTCTGTTTTAAGCATATAAAATAGTTGAAGAAATTTATTTAATATTTCGTTAAAACAATTT